ACACGTCACCAAGATGGCCGTCACTACTGTCTTGTCAACAAAACGATTGACTACCCTCACTATCACCACAATGAAACACGTCCTGAAGAATGTCATGCAAAGCTGCCTGCCTGCCTTCCTTTGATTCTCTCTGAACTGCCTGGTCGTTTTAATGTTTAATGTCAACCATTTGTGCAGATAGCATGAAGTAGAGAAGATCGCCGATGCTAACGTTAGCGTTAGCATTTCTCCCCCGGGCTTAGATGGTGTATTATAGAATGATCACACCGGTGACAGTACTATTCAAAGGGTTCACGAAATATGACTACTACTCTTACTGTTTAACATTTTGGGTTACTTAATGTTACTTCATTTTAAGGCTAATAAAAATGACAAGGCTGTAATGCTAACTAACGTGCTAGCTACTAGCTAGGTAGCTAACTTGATCAAGCCACTCCTGGTCCTTTCATCAGACGGGAAGCAAAATAACGAGCAAGACCCATTGCTGGTATAATAACAATCTGGTACTAAGCACACAGGCATCTTGTTCGGCAGTGGCTTAGTCTGTAGGGACTTGGTCTTGGAACCAAAGGGTCGCTGGTTCACGTCCCGATCGGACCAAAAAAAGATGGAGTGAGCTGGTAGCTGGAGAGGTGCCAGTTCACCTCCAAGGCCACTGCCGAGGTGCCCTTGAGCAAGGCACCTAACCTCGAAACTGCTCCCTTGGCGCCGGGTACCTGGCAGCCTCTCTGCTCTGCCACCTCTCCTATCTGCATGTGGTTGTGTGTTTGCATGTATATCCTCTGCGTTTGTGCATGTATATCCTCCCCTGTGTGTGTAATGTGTGTTAACACAACAGAGTGGGGAAAGAAATTTCCCTGTAAGGGATTAATAAAGTGTATCTTCTTCTTCTTCTTAAAGTTATCTTATCTTAGCCAGCGCCATATAGATAGATTATATCTATATGGCGCTGATCAAAACAATTGTGACATCACTTACGCGACTCTGGGATTTGTAGTCTTTCTAGTTACGTATTTTTCATAGTCTTATATTTCAACAGTTTTACGACAAACTGTGACTTTTTTGACATGGAAATTATTTTTTAAGATTGACAAACATCATATGTGTAATTCATGGCACAATTCAAACGGGATCGAAAGATAAGTTTTCTCTCTCCATTGACTTCAATACATTTTTTTTTCCGAAATAAGGTCCCATGGGGCGGAAGTAGATGGGCGTGACTTCGCCACTCTATACAGTCAATAGGCTTGTTTGAGACGAGCTGCGGCTCGCCTCGAAAGTAGACGAGAATAGCCGATCGCAGCCGGGGGAGGTCTCAAAAAGCTCGCCTGAAGTCGGACAGCTCGGAGTCGGCTTCTTCTTCTTCTTCTTCTTCTCTCGGTTTTTGGGCGGATTTCAAACAACTTTAAGGTGCATACTGCCACCTCCGGAGTCGGCTTGACTCGGTTTGCATTTATAAATGCACACGGCATCTATTGCACGTCTGTCCGTCCTGGGAGAGGGATCCCTCCTCTGTTGCTCTCCCTGAGGTTTCTCCCATTTCCCCTTTAAACTGTGGGTTTTTCTCTGGAAGTGTTTCCTTGTATGATGTGAAACGTAAGGACAGAGGGTGTCGTATTGTCATACTGATATTCTGTACAAACTGTGAAGTCCACTGAGACAAATGTAACATTTGTGATATTGGGCTATATAAATAAACATTGATTGATTGATTGATAAAGAATGGACAAATGTGTTTAATCGTTAATGTCAGATATGTACTAAGTAAATACATTTGTTCCTGCTCAAGATTAGATTCAACTTTATTGTTATTGCACAGATTACAGGTACTGAGACAACGAAATGCAGTTTAGCTTCTAACCAGGAGTGCATAAAGCAGTAAAGTGAAAAGTAATGTACACAATCTACAGAATAAAATATAGAATGAATTGAATGATGAAAAAACAGTGAGGGGTATGAATACACTATATACACAGTAGCCTAGCCTAGTATGAACAGTGTGTTGTATGCATATGCTAAGATAAAGTATGACAACGGTAAGCAGTGCAAGTATAGTATAAAATATATAGATATTAATGTTATGATGATAAACATTGTGGAACAATGATGAAAAATGTGAATGGAAGTGGCGACGTAAAACGGACACAAAACAACAACACACTTTTGCCGAGCCAATGGAGAGTTTCATCTCCAGCACGGGGTAAAACCCACCAATGAGCGCTCAGCTCGAGATACCAGCGAGTCGTTTCCCATCAAGCATTTCGCTTCCGCAGCCCGGGGAGAGAAACTGCGCCGCCTCGCCGCGCCTCGCTCTCAAGTCTGCGGGCGTCTTTGTCCCGCGAGATTTCAACGTCTCATGTAGGTGAGCCTCCAGAGCAAGTCGGACAAAATGACTAACCATCATGCAACGCACGAGCAAGACGTTGATCGCAATTGCGCAGGTCTGCGCAGGTCTCGCTTGTCTCAAACAAGCCTTATGGCCAGGGGTGCACATAACTGGTACGCAGGTACGCATGCGCGGCACAAATCTGAATTGCGTAACGTCACTTGTGTCACTACGCGCCTTTGCGTACCTCAAAACATCAAAACAAAACACATATTTCGTCTACACGTGTTTCTTGTCAACACTCAATGGAGTAAACTACTAGGCATGTCAAAAAACCCAAAGACATTAAGCAGCTATGTTGCCGTTTCGCTCCCTGCAAAAAATCTTTCTATGACTGATTGAACTGGAGCTGGGTGAGCCGCGCAGGACATAACCGACGGACCTGTGAAGCTTTCCAGGAGGCAGAGGCTTAGATCACTGGACGACAGAGTTGGTCGCCGTGTGCACAGACAGGGTTAACGTCGGTATAAACAACAGAATTGTGCCAAAAGTCCGCCAACTGGCTGTGGTGGGAGACTCCCCTGTGCACATTCTGTGCCCCGCGCACACACTGGAGAACTGCGCAAAATCATCTGATCACAACGTTCACGCTCTGTGGTCAAGCTGCTGCAGTTTTATTTACACCAAAGTGGAGTGAAACACACAGCTGCAAACTTACTCAGGGTGTTATGGAAGAGTTTGAAATCAGACAGAGGTGGAAGAAGTACTCAGATCTTGTGTAGGAATACTCTGTTACAGTAAAAGTCCTGCATTCAAAATGTTACTCAAGTAAAATTAGAAAAGTATTATCAAAATATAGTGAAAGTAGCGACAGTAAAAGTATTCATTGTGCAGATTGGTCCATTTCAGAATAATATATATGATATGTTTTATAATGATTGATCATGAAAGTGTTCTCAAAGCTGGTAAAGGAGCAGCTAGTTTGAATGACTTTGTATACTGCAGGGTAGCTTGTGGATTTACTCCAGGTGGAACTAAAGTCTGATTTAACACTTGATTAGATTTCACATCATTCATCCACATCTGTAAAGTAACTAAAGGTATTAAATACATGTAGTGGAGTAAAAGTAGAAGTACAAAGTAGCATAACATAGAAATACTCAAGTCAACTACAAGTATCTCAAAATTGTACTTGAGTAAATAAGTGTGCTTTGTTACTTCCCACATTTGAAATCAGATATGACTTCAAGTCATGTGATCATTTCTTAGTATTTGATCCTTCAACTTGGCCTCAGGAAATGCAAGGACTTCACAGTTTTGGCAACAAGTTTTGGAGAAAGCAAATCGGAGGCTTAAAAAGAGACAGGGAGGTGCATCTTCATCATCTTCATCATCTAGCATGCAAGAAGTGTAAATTGAGGACAGTGAAGGAGACACTGAGGAGGACCACGCTTCGTGTGGGGTGAGTACCAAACGCTGTCTCTTGGTACTCATCTGAGTAACTCACTAAAAAAGTTATGTGCACCCCTGCTTATGGCTGCGTTTCACTTCGGTTAAATGGATTCCTTGCGTCCCTCACTTGTGTCGTTTCCCTGTGACTAGTCCCTCCCACCAGGGAAGCATGGAGAGACGCAAGGAAACCACGAGAAGCAGGGAAATGAGTTTTAAGGGCAATGGGACGTCCTTTCCTCCGGAGCGTCACGTGAAGCGACGTCCGTTTGTGATGACGCTGCACAGCTGATCGTCTGACAGCAGCCAGCTCTGTCCCCGTTATTTTCACACACACCCCCGCCTCTGTTAGTACACATTTACTGACACAAACATGTGTATCATCTGTTGTAGACCCAAATAAATAAAATAAAATAAGAACTAATTCACAAAAAACATAAACGCCATTCTTAAAATGTATAAACGAACTATTAGTTTGGTTAATATTGATTACAGTGCACAATATAAATAAAATAATTGTGAGAAGAAAAAGAGATATGTTATCTATCAAAACCCAGTTAGATTAACATTAACTGGATTGCACACTTTGTGTGGATATGTAGCAAATTAACATGTTGAATAGCACTTAATGACTGACTGAATGGAAATGACAATAAATGAAAATGTAAAACGAAAAAAGCGATCACGAAAATGTTTCCAATAAATGAATGAAATGATTTTTGTCCACTTTGTTGTTCAGATATATCACATATTTGTAACTAAATGATGCATTAATTGAAACAAAACACAGTATAAACTGAGGAGTGAGTCCCGTGAGTTTCATGTGTTTTCTTCACTCCGCTGGGAAACTCTGCTCTCCTGTCAAGAAGCATCAGATCAGTGCATGCGCTGCACCGTCCAATCAGTGAGCGATACACAGTAAGGGGGCGGGGCGAGTCTCTGAGGATTTCATCGAAGGATGGTCTGGTGGTTCCTCGATTATAGCTCCTCCATTGTCGCTCCTCGCTCCTCGATCCTCGGTCCTCCGGCAAAAATAAGGCCATTGGGACGTTACTCAAAATGGCGCAGACAAATCAACTTCCGGTGAGACCGAGGAGCGAGGAAATGAAAAATAAGAGAAGTGAAACGCAGCCTATGGTCCTCCCTTGTACCGGGTCCCCCTGTGTACTGCCTCTTTAAAAGGCGTGGCGACAGCGTGACAGGACTCAGAATGCGACGTAGCTAATGAGCCCAATACAACATCCTGAAGTGAAGGCATCTGTCTGAACTTGGAGCTCGAGCCCTGGAAATAAAAAAAGCTAGAAAAGTAAGAATATTTGTATATTTTGCTTTGCCTCTTGTCACATATATCCGTACACACTACACAGTGTAGGTAGGGGGAGGCAACCAAACATAAGGCTGTTTATAAGTCAGCGTTCTCCTTTACTGTACCGTCAGTCAGCTAGATAACGCTCTCCTCATTATTACACTCAGTCTGAAACATGGCCACAGACGAGCTCTCGTCCAAGCTCAGCCGCCGGCTCCAGATAGAAGAAGGAGCAGAGGAGCCTGTTGCTGTGGACTTCTTCGGGACCCAGGATGGCTCGGAAGACAAACCGAGTACAGCCAACGCAGACTCGGAGCTGGGCGCGAAGCTACAGCGGAGAGAGGAGCTGAACGAGGGGCAGGGGGAACACCAGCAGCCCAGCATGAAGGTGTTAAACCCCTACACCGAGTTCAAAGAGTTCTCCCGGGGCCAGATCAAGGACATGGAGAAGATGTTCAAAACGTGAGTGTGTGAGAGTCTGCCACAACACTTCCAGAAACATGTCTAAATGTGAAACATGCCTCCTGCCGCTGGCTGCCATTTGAGCCTGAGAGAAGAGAGAAGTACAGATTGCTCATATAAGGAAGTGGAGCGGGCACGTACTCCGGCCGGACACTTCCTAATACACCTATAATTTCAGTGTTTTACTACCTTACAGTACAGGTGTAGCCAGCCAAAAGACACATCTTGAATGTTAATTGTAAGAGAGGCTAAGTGATGGAGTGTTAGTGTTGTTAATGTTTAAAGAAAGGCTTAAAGGCAGCAGGAAGTCGGAACTGCTGATCCCAGGGGCGTTGTACTTGATGGGAGATGAAATTCATAAGTGAACTAAAACATAGTTTAATCATTAACAAAATAATCAGTAGTGAAAGGTGCTGCTCAATGTGTCTGTCTGATTATAAAGCAGGCTAGCCTAGACCTATATTGGTGAAGCCTCAGTGGTTGCAGGGTTGGGACAGTCAGTGATAAGGAAATCAGAAATCAGATAATCAGATAATGTGGGGGGGGGGGGCACTCATCCTTTAGATGTCATTTCATGATTTTTAGTCTTTTTAATAGTTACATTCAACTGCATCCATATACATCTTAGAATATTACAAAAATACTCACGCTTAAAAAGCAACTACACATTATCCTGCATGATTATAGACAAAACCATAACCGTGATTATTTTGATCAATATTGAGAGGATACGATTGTTTATCACCATTTTTTTATTGTTTTAAGTGAAAAAAAGATTTCTATTGCACTTCCATATTTAAATAAACAGAGCAACTTTCACTTCCATGTTGTTATACCATCTAACAAAGGCCTACACATCAGGGCTGTACCATATTAGAAAACATACTTTTAAATGCAATATGTATTGCAATATATAAATATCACAGGAATAATTACATATCAATTCAACCTTAATTGCAATGCAGTGCTACATTTCTGCCATCAAGTGAAGGACCAACTGGTGGACATCAGTATCCACCAGTGAGATACTTGCAGCTCGTCCCTGGTCTGTCAATGTAAGGTAGCAGCTGACTCAATGGCAGTAGCGTGGCGTGGGAAAAAAATTAGGGGAAGCCAATAATACGTCCTTTTTTTGGGGTCGGGGGGGGTGGTCAATGTAACGCTGTAACCAGATGAGTGATTACAGCGCCCGGTATCATTTTACATACATTTGTATCATACAGATGCAGGACTTACACACGCCTGTTATCTAACCGACAGGTCCGCACGCACTCTCCAGCCGAAACTCTAATAAGCATTCATTCACAAACTAAATCAGGAGACCTTTAACGTTTTACGTCCGATTCGCTCCTTTTTTCCTCGCTGTACACAGCTCCAGTTTGGGCATTGGCCTGTCATCAGATTTAATTTTAGTTGCTGCTGTAGCGGAAGTTTAGTACAATTATTTTTGATTAAATACTCCAAATCTCCACCCTCCATAATTGCACTTGCTTCAGTTGCTTGCTACTTTCTAACGGCGGTGAGAGTGGTGCAGTGACACTATCTATCTATCGATTAGATTTATGATTCGAAAATTATAAAAGTGGAGTAGACATGTGGATATTATCCGGCTGAACAAAACGTGCATTTGTCTAACAGGTTCGTTTTCCACAGACCTTATTTCGAGCTACTTTCCAAAATCCTATGAAGAAATCCCATTGCTTTTTTGTCGAGGGAACGCGAGCGCAGCTTACTTCCGGGTTTTAGGACGCGTCACTGCACCACTAAGTTGATGCGATTTGATTGGATTGTGAAGCAAGGGAAGCCAGCCGCCTCTGGCTTCCCGTGGCATGGCTCTGACTAATCACAGGTTGGCAGGGGCATGACGTGAGCCTTGTCTGATTGGTCAATCCCTCCATTTCTTTTCACCAAGGGAAGCCCATTTCTGCTGGCCTCCTCTCGCAACAGTGAGTACAATCTACTGTATTACCATAACATCTAGAGGGGCGCTGTTTCACTCTTTGTAAAATACTCAATGAGAATGGGGATCAGCAGAGAGATCGGCCGGCAGCTACACACAGCAAAGAAGAATTTCCGAAACTAAACGAAGTGTTTTTATTTATTTATTAAAATTATAACTACAATCCGAAAAAACAGGGGAAGCCTGGCTTCCCTTGGCCTCCAGGAGAAAACGTCACTGCTCAATGGGGGGGGGGCCGTAGTTTGGACACCCTGGTTTATAGCCTTGGCTCTGGTTCTGTTGAGGTTCAAATTAAGTCTTACATGGGCTTATTTACAACAGACAATATTGATAAGTTCTTATGTAACCAGGACGTTATCTGTATCTTTTTGATGTTTGGTGTAATAATCACACTGCAGTGTCTCTTCTCTCGGGGTGGAGCTCCTGTCCAATCACATTCCGCAAACAGCACAATAGTGATGGAGTCAGTGCATCAGACCGGGTGAAATGAAGATAACTAAAGGAAACTCAAGTTGAAGTCAACTACAGTCATTACTGTAAGTGCAATAACACCTTTACGAGTGGAAAAGCATTTCTTTATCAGTATACCTGTTTAACAAGCTTAACCATGTACACAGGTAGATAAGCATCATTTCTGCTGTGTCTTTCCTGCAGCTATGTTTTACACTAGCACAGCACGCTAGCTCGGCTCATAGTGAATGTTATTTAGTTTTCCACATATCTCAAAATGTGCTTTATTCTCCTTAACTTGGCAGCTGGCTGAGAAGGCGTGTCACAATCAATTTTCAATATAAGGTGTCATCTGATCTGCCTTTTAATTCTGATGATCCAAACGGAAAGCTCATTTAGATTGATGGAATTAGAAATGAAATCTGAAATGAAATCCCCCCCCCAACAACAACAGCAGCAGCAGGAGGGTGACAGGATGAATGACTGATAGTGATTGGAGTCTTGTTGTTTATGCTAGTGTTCTGATTTCACAAATATTATTTATTAAATGGATATTTTAAGTTTGTTTCCTAACAATGACCATCTCTAGCAAGGCACTACAAGCAATCCAGTGCCGGGGAGAGGTCCTATAGGTACAACATCATAATTATGTTGTAACTACTGGTGGATGACAATAAAGACAATCTCTTCTGTTTTATACTATTCTACAAGATCCTCCCACACTGAGCGGCCTTCCTGACAACACAACACACTGCTGAAAAGAAAAGGATTCATAGAGAGAGACAAAAAGATGGTGTCATTGCCAAACAGACAGCGGCTCCCTGATAGTGCTATCTCAATTATATTGTTTTCATAATAATTGGAAGCTACAGTCTTAATTGAAAATAAAATGTGGATTAATCGCCCAGCTCCACAACTCAAGCACAGCTGAATGGAATTCAGTTTCAGCCAGCGTTCAACATGAAGCGTTATAGAAGCAGTGAGTGTGGGTGAGTGCTTCATATACTCTGCTGATCACTTATACTAAATGAGTTTAACTGTGAGGTCCTGACAGAGTGGAAGACACTTGCCTGGAAGAATGCATAAGAGAAGTCATTTGATCTATCATCTTATGTTGTGCAACAAAGAGTATTCTGTTCATTCTGCCGTTTCCTTTGGCATCAGCATGTCCTTCTAGCTGAAGAGCTTCCCTCACAGCAGCGGTTTTGTTTTTGCATGTGTGTGACTTCTGGCTGTTTCTGTGCGATGCAGATTCTTCAGATTCCTGTCATGAACAGGCTTGTCCTGGGGTTTAAATGCACTACATCCTTTCTAAGGAAGTTAATAATTAGCTGCTCAAACATTGACCGAAAATAAGAGTGTTGGTTAGTGATATCAGTCAAACAGTAAAAAAAGGTGAGCAAAACTCAGAGGAGCTGCTTATCAATACAAAGAGAACAGCTGGTCCATCTTAAAGGTGAGCCCCCCCTGACTGATCCTGCCTGACAGCCTGCACTACAACCAGCATGGGGCAACCAGACATAGCAACTGGGTTTGGCTTTACATTTATTCTAAGACAAATAAACGGGCACAGCCCCACCTAGTGTCAGCAGAAAGTAATTAAAATAATAATTCCAAAAATATGCAAAACATATATATCTTAAAATCTATTTTAAGATCATGTTTAGTCATCTGATTCGTCTGTACATTGCTGTTTTAGTCTGCGTTCTTCTAATTAGTGTCCACAGTGTGCCTATTGAGCCGTGTTGAGCGATGACGGGCAAGCCCCGATCTAGCCCCTCTCTTTGCTGTCAAAATGAATGGGTGCTGTAAAAACTACACTGCACATGGTCAGAGTATTTTTGAAATCAATGTGTGCGGCAAAAAAATTATCACAAGTGGGGCAAAGTGCTGGCAACCCCACCAAAACCTCATCTCATAATTCAGAGCTGATTGGCTGTAAGTACGTGTGCCGCGAAAAGTGTAGTTGTGAAGAGGAGTTGAGAGAAATCAGTAAAACGGAAAGAAAATGAATGAAGTTGACCATCTACTGCAGCCTCTAAGTTCATTTTATGTCATATCTTTAGTTGATCTTCTGTGTTTTGCCTTTGCTGGATCGATTGATATTGTGACCTCGGTGATGAGTGTCTGTGTTTTCCTTATATTTACAGTCTATGGTGTTTTAATGCTGAAGCATTACGGTTGTTGTTATTGTTAGGTATTGCTTTGTGATGGTGCCCTTTACTCCATGTATTAAGGTGCATTACAATATGACAGATGTCAGATTGTGGTGGCAATCTCTTTCTTTTTCTCAAATTCTTTATCCAAAAAATGTCAGGCAAATAGTCTTATAATATCAACATAGGCTATAATTTATGGTATACTATATGATTCAGATTAGGCATAATGCATTTTTGTTTGGTGGTTTTCTTAGAGCGTTAGAACTTAAAGGTGGGGTAGGTAAGTTTGAGAAACCGGCTCAAGATACACTTTTTGTTATATTCCATGGAATGCTCTTAACATCCCGATAGCAATGAATATCTTAAGTGCTTTGACAAAAAATCCATAAAAAAATATCATCTGTGGAAGCCGTAGTACTGTAAAAAGCACGACCAATCATTTTAGCCGGCCCGGCTAAAATAACTGGATGGCCTACCTGCCTGTCAGCCTTCCATCTGTGCACAAACTTATCTCGTGCCCTCATTGGTCATGTGCGCGTTCCTGTGTGTTGGAGGAGGGGCTCTATAAGGAAGTAGCAGATTTCTTCCGGATGTGTATTTTCAAATCCTAGCGCACTCGAGCTGGTTTCTCCAGAATTACCTACCCCACCTTTAATAGTCCTACCATTTATAACTTAGCTGAGAAATATGTGATGTTAAAGGTCCCATGTCATGCTTTTCCGGTTTCCAGGCTCCAGTATGTCCAAAACTGTGCTGCTAGGGTACTCACACACACAAAGCCGTGGCAGCACATCACTCCCACCCTCATCCACCTACACTGGTTGCCGGTCAAGTCCCGTATATCTTACAAAGTACTCCTCCTCACCTACAAGTCCCTCCATGCCCTTGCCCCCGGACATCCTTCACCCACATGCCCCACCCCGGAACCTGCGGTCCTCAGACTCTGGCTTGCTTACCACCCCCCGCACCAAACTGCGAACCTTCGGGGACAGAGCCTACAGTGTGGCAGCCCCCACCCTCTGGAACGCTCTCCCTGCGGAGATTCGCAACATCACCACACTCGACGCCTTCAAAAGGGCCCTCAAGTCCCATCTGTTTGCCAAGGCTTTCGGCCCCTAATCGATCTGTTGTTTTGTCTGTCTGACTTTTGTTTTGTTATGTTTGTTTTTGCCCTATTACTGTAAAGCGACCTTGGGTCCCTTGAAAGGCGCTATATAAATGCAAGCTATTATTATTATTATTATTATTATTATTATTATTACCCGTCCCCTTGTGTGTTATGAAGGTTTTTCTGCATGTAAACAGTCTGCAGAGTCACAAACCCTCAAAGTACACCCTGTAGCGAGTAAAACTCTAACACAGAAAACACCTGTCTATGCTGCCCCAGAACGCCTCGTTGGACATTTCTCTTTTTCCATTTGTTTCTTCCGGGAACCAAGTGACGTAATGCGGTTCCCGGAACGAAAATGGACCAATCCGCGGAGCTCCTCACACATCAGGACCTTTAGCGTACATTTTCAACTAACAGGGAGTCCCATTGACTTGCATTGGGCTCTATGCATGAGAAATGCTCTCCGCAGACCCATTCTCACAGCGTTATAAACCTTTTTCTTACTCAATATCAAGCCACACTTATTGTTTTTACTTCGGCTGTGAGTGTTTGTGTGTGCTCAGGATGAGTTTCGCGCTGTCTCGCTGTATCGCCGACCCGGAAACCACACCAGTAAGCCAGATCATTGAGCAGCGAGCCTCGCAACGTTCCGACCAATCAGAGCACACTGGGCTCACAGGGAGGGGGGGGCCGGAGCTCCAACAAGCCGTTTAGGACAGAGAGTGAATACACATACTATACAGAGATGCTGTATGAGAAACCAATGTGAGTTTGGAACATTGCACAATATAAATCTATTTTAGTAGACCTCAACAATGGAAATATGATCAGTAGAAATGGCCATGACATGGGACCTTTAAATATCATTGCTTGTGTTAGCTTACTTGACTATAAAGCTTCTGCAAAACAGTTGCCTATTAAATTGTAGTTTAGCCTATTATTGGCAAAATAAAAAATGTCTGTGTGCACAACATGACATTGACATCCCTTTCCCACCCCTTGGCCCCCCTGGTGTGAAGTTACTGCAACCCACTGTACTGTACTCTATGCAGTTGGAACAGATAATGTTACCCAATTTCTGATACAACATGGATCAAAACTAAATTATTTTGACATTATTATAATGGGATGCATATCTTAGACAGGCACCTCACACATATATAAATAAAACATATATATAATATGCAATGCTTGAAAGTGGCACAGCTTGTACACATACAGTAGGTGTGAGCTTTAGTTCAGCGTTGTAGAAGAGCTGTAACCGACCCATCTTCTACTTAATCCTGTGTAGGTTTGATGCTGGGAAAGACAACTACATTGACCTGATGGAGCTGAAGCTGATGATGGAGAAGCTGGGAGCTCCACAGACTCACCTGGGCCTGAAGAACATGATCAAGGAGGTGGACGAGGACCTGGACAACAAGCTCAGCTTCAGAGAGGTGAAGCAAGAAGTCCAGATGAGAATCAGTCAGAGGATTTGATGTTCCTCCTGTCCAAACATTTCTTTGTTCTTCCTCCTCAGTTCCTCCTCATCTTCCGGAAGTCCGCAGCAGGAGAGCTGGCGGAGGACAGCGGGCTCTGTGTCCTCGCTCGCCTCTCTGAGATCGACGTCTCCACAGAGGGGGTGAAAGGAGCCAAGACCTTCTTTGAAGCCAAAGTAAGAAGACTGGTTACACCAGTGATTTTCAAACTCTGTGTCAGGTGTGCCATGTGAAATGGTCCAGTTTCACTTAATTGGTGCAAAAAATATGATTTAGTTGCTGCAAGTAATTTGCCATTGTTGAGCGTCGCTGCCTGCAATGTAGTGGCTGGCTAAATAATGCAATACTCTTCCATGCCAGTGGGTGGCATTAGGTAGCGCAATAATAACCTTGTTATTTTAAGACGGTTGACAAGACTAACAGCGATGGATACATATTTGAAAAGATTCTGGACGGTCCTTGGACATAATTCTAAACCAGATATAGAGCATAGTATGAGTGGTGGTCAAAAGACAGAAAAAACTGTGACTTTGGGGTAATACAGCCAAAGTTCTCTTTCACCGGGATCAGACATCACCGACACGGTTTGCTTTGTGTTTGGGGAAAAGCTTTGCCACAGTGCCATGGTCCCAAGCAGTAAATGTCACCTCCAAACAAAACACCTGTCACTTCAAAACAAGTAGAATAGGCAAACGTGTCAATTTTAGACTTTTTAGTTGTTGGTGTGCCGTGGCATTTTTTTAATGTCAAAAATGTACCGCAGCTTCCAAAAAGGTTGGAAAACACTTGCTATTACAACAACACAGCCAACAGTTCATGACAGTCAATACACAAGCAATTGTTTACGCAGAGGAGTAATAAAGTTCTACACAGACAGGCAGACAGGCAGGCAGGCAGACAGGCAGGCAGACAGGCAGACAGGCAGGCAGACAGACAGGCAGGCAGACAGACAGACAGACAGACAGGCAGACAGGCAGACAGACAGGCAGACAGGCAGGCAGGCAGACAGACAGGCAGACAGACAGGCAGACAGGCAGACAGACAGACAGACAGACAGACAGACAGGCAGACAGACAGACAGACAGACAGACAGGCAGACAGACAGACAGACAGACAGACATGAATATAAGGTACTTCGATGTAAATCATCAGTTCTGTGTTACAAGCCACAGGTTCAGTCCAGTGGGTCTCTTTACTTCAGTGTTCCCCTTGGTGGGCTCGGGGCTCGGTGACCCCCCCTTTGATGTTTGTATGACACAGAGACAGACAACCATGCAGGCTCATAGTCCAACCTACTCTACTGAATGTTTACATAGCAACAATATGTTTGTTGCTGTGAATATGAACTGTTTTTATTGGAAGCAGCAATATATATTTTTAGCATTAGCACGTTACCATTAGCTTTTACTTAAACATAAACATTTAAAATACATACATAGATCACAATAAAAATGCTTCACTAGTACTACTCCATCTAAAATGTGGTATGTTAACAGTTGTTACAGTTGTTAGTTTACCCCTCGATAGTAGCCCTATAAATGGGAGCAGCTGTTGTACTGAACTGTTGTCATGATGGTCTTTAGGTGTGGTCTTTGCTGATGTAACGCTCTCGGCTCTCTCACTGCTGCTGTTGTTAACACTTCTAATGTATACACTTTCGTCATGTTGAAGCCATTGCTTCATAAATAATATTGGTCTCTCCGAAACCTGCACACTCTACTCCTCTTCCATTGCTATCCATCAGGTGTCCTCCCACCCCTTAATCTGACCCAATACTCCATCCCCTGACTGCTGTGTTTGCTGCTGCACAGGTCCAGGCCATCAGTGAGTCGAACCGGTTTGAGACGGAGATCCGTCAGGAGCAGGAGGAGAAGAAGAAGCAGCTGGAGGAGCAGAAAGTGAGACGTGCTGCCTTCAAGGACCTGCAGTCAGCCTTCAAGTGATCCAGGACCAGTGGCTCTGTGTCTCATGCTGTCAGTCTGTCGTTGTGTTTGAATGCTCCATGTGTGTCAGACAGTGCTGATCCAGAGTCAAACTGACTCACACACATTGGTCACTAGTCTACCATACCATGAACTGGGTACATTCTGAAAATCAGAAGAAAAATAATAATTGATTGATATAATTGTGTTTATTTAGCTCCGCTGCTCAGTAACTTTCTCAAACATGGAAAATAAATGTTTAGTGCAAATATAGCAGGACTGCCATGAGAGTAGTCTGTGCTGGGCTCAATGAAGGAGGATTTTTAAAGTACCTGTCATCCTCCACTGTGCACTTTTTATTCACCTGTCACAGGGCTCCAGTAACAACGGTTGGAATGATTGTCAACTGGATAGCTTTTTAATATAATCCTGCCTTTTAGTAAACAAACTGCTGTGCAGTGTTTGGTGTCTAATAAACCTTCTCTCATGGATTTATTAATCCAGTTGGCCTTCCCGACACAAAACACACTCACACCAACAAAGCGACAATGTGATGACCCAGTGTCCAGTTCTGAGTGTGTGTGTAGACTAGTGATGAATGCCCTTGTTCTGCTGCCCTGGCTACATGTGTATGTATGTATTTGTATATGACCTTGTTGGACTACTTTCTATTTTACTCATTCCTCAGTGACACCTGTCACACACCATTAAGATAGTGTTCAATGTTAAATGAATAACTGAGCTGCACATTTTTACTGTCAGCTCTGTATTTTTCTATTAGGGGTTAGGTGGGTATTTAGTATGTTATTCAGGCTGATCGTGGTGTGCTATTCTTCAGCACCTTGTTTTGCAGGGGCCCTCTGTAACTTAAATAAGTGTGTTTCCTATCTAGTTTCAGTCAGTATTCCTCTCCCTCAGCTCAGTTAACAATCAATTCACCTGCTGAGATCTGGAGCTGTACTATCTTATTGGGACTTCATGCAAACCACATGAGCCATCAGATCAATAAGAATCAGATCAATGAGAATCCGATCAGTCAAAAAGAAAAGTTATTTTATCTTCTCCAAGATCATCAAATCTCTTAAATTGAAACCAGCCTTGAGAAAGTGCTCATCTTAATTACTGCTCTCACTTCTTGTTGTGAAATCCTGCTTTTGTATTGATTGATTGTAAGACATTTTTTTTTTTTTTAAATATCACTGCAAGCAGGAAGGTTCAGACCTTCTTTTCACAGTGTCTGAGACTTCATAAAGCTGAACAAAGTGATGGGGGAGCGGGACCAATCACAGCATTGTTCCAGCGTTATAATGAACGCAGCACTTCAGCAACTGTCCATTCTAAGTCCTGCCATCTTGCCCTCCTTTATGGGATCTTAACAAAACTTGAATTTTATCAGCGTTATTAAAAAAGTTAGTTACTGTCGTTTTCCTGCTAACTCTCATCCTTTGCAAATACTTTTTTTCATTGACGGCAACCGTGTTTTCAATTTGATCTTGCTTATTTGTAATATAAATGTTTATCCCTGTTGGCAATCTGACCCAGGGCGGGGGCCTTTCAACATTTTTATTTTGTGGCTGTTTATTAAGCACCTCCATCAATCCAATTAGACTCGTATTTAATGGGAAGCATAATAACATTTCAACTTAAACAAAATGATGTAAACAAGTCTTTCATTATTCTGTCTCCTTGAATAGTCATCATGTTGAGGACTAGGCCAACACTGTATTATTAAGCAGTAGGGAACAAAAGCTTTCATTCATTTCAAACTCTTTATTAAACATCGCCAAAATACACCAAAATAGAAAAAAAACACAGTGCTCTGAAGTTCTGACAAGAGAACTAGGCTCTCTTAGGTGGGGAAGACAAACGTTTTATAAAGAAGAAAGGTCCATGGCAAATTCATATTTTGTAGGAGATTCTAAAAGCATGGACACCTCTTCATGTCCAACCCTCAGCACAGTTTCCTTAAAAAACATGATGATTTTACAGACTGCTTACACCTGAAGGGGAAGCCAATAAACAGACCGGGGCAGATACAAAGTATGACCACTAGGTGGCTCCTCTGACCATGTGAAGAAGGAAGAACAAAATCAGTCTCTTCCTACTGATTTACCCTCATTTCCTAAATATTCAAAAAAATCATGTTTTTTTGGAAAAATAAAAATAATAAAATTACGTTTCCTTATTATTTACAAATATTTTAGTTATCAACAGGATTATGCCAACACTGTAATATATAGTGGTAGGGATTCTTCTCCAGCATCATCCCTCTATGTTCCTAATGTTACCAGAGAAGTGCCAAAGGTTGAACTAAAGTCAATGTGCCCAGTTTTACTCTCCTGAAACAGAAATGTTAATGGAAATAATATTAATTGTAGTACGGTTAGCTTTCGGCCATGGTCAGGTCAATGTATTGTTGGTACAGCATTCCCTCACAATACTCCTACAATCATTTGAAGTCCATCAGTGGCCTGGATGTATTTTTCTGCTGTAATTCTGCTGGGGACATGTTTCCAGCTGCTCATGTTGCTATGAAAGTTATGGACTCACCTTAATATCTGACAGAAAGTCAATGTTCACTGTGACAATCTAAAAACTGTGCTGGGAGTGATCAACATCAGGGTACAGTTTGATTTTTATTACGTTTTTCCTTACTTTGTTGTAATATGTACATTAGTACTGTCTTGTATGCTGATCAGATAATAAAAAACGGTATTGCTCCGTCATTTTTACTTTCCGACAACATGCATCTTTCTCTCAATAAATTGTCCAGTGTGTCATCCCTGTGTTTCAATTGACAGGAGAACAGAAAGAGAACATCATGGAGGTTACCCATCCCTTAGTTTTGTCCTCTTTAGGTCCACTGATAAAACATTAATTGAAAATATTTAGCATAGATAAGGATTGTGATTTATTTTGAATTAGTATCTTAAAATGTGATTCATCACAGAGTCAGTCAGTTGTGTTAACTTGCCATATTTAGTTGTGTGAAAATCAATCTTTAGACTTTCTCTTTGGACATTATGCTCTGATGTCAGTTTCAAAACGGATCAATTTAAATTGTTCTTTCAAAACAGAACACACCATTTATAATCCTATGTTCAATACAGTAATGTGCTGCCTAAATGTCAGGGCATGTCAATGACATCATCAGGTAACATTCAGAAACATTATACATACTGCCTAAATGAGAATAAATGGACAACAAGTCTTCTCCTTTGTAAACATATGTTTAATTGTATTTAAATTGACTGAAAATGTAATTCAAGTAAACTAAGAAAACCAATGTCCTTACTATTTTACAAATAGGATTTAGGTTTACCCTTAACCCTTGTGCCCTCCTCAAGTTTACTACCCTCTGGACACCTTCGTGGCAAAAATGTACACGCCCAGAAAACTGCTATTTCATTCATTCATCATCCATCAATATTTTGTTCTGCTTTTTTTTCTTCCATAAATCACTTTTAACAACTTCTAACGTGCTCAAAACTACCAACCATTCAATCATTTTCTGGATTTTAAACCTTTTAAATGCCTGTTTAATTATTTGAATTATCTCATAATTTATTACAAAAAAACACAAAACGACATTATTTTCAATATAATAATTAGTAGGGGGATGGGGCTTTGGTGGTTATTAGAGTCTTGGATATGTCAAAGATTAACAACAAAATTGATATGATTGCATTATTATTTTTGGCGTAGTGTCAGATACTACCTCTCGACACCTTCGCAGCGGCCTCCGCTGTCCGCCCAGTCTTGCCTTCCCTTGTGTGCCTGGTCGGTTCGTCGTTGTTTTTCGTGAGGTTTTGTTCTGATGTCCTGTCTGGACTGTACTGAGGGTATGAAGGTAGATATGGTGCAAAATGCGAGAGCGTGTAAAACCTGATGTGAGCACTTGCAGAAAAGAAATCTGAGCTTGTGTGCATACATTTACACTTGTATAACATATCTGTGAACCACATTTGAAGTCACAGAAGAAAAAAAAAAGTTTTGTACCTTGTAGAAAAAAAATGAACTTAGTGATGAAATGTTCACTTGCAGAAAAATATATTTAATATATTTTTTAAATATATTTTCCATTACAACTGCAACTTGGTTATTACAACCTCTCAAATCAGTCATTACAACTTCATGAATCTGCTCTGTGGCAGTATAAATCGACGAATCTGCGGCCTTGACTTTTGCTACACTTCTTGCGATGAATGTGTCGCAAAAGTAATTTTCACCTGTAGATGTGGGGGGAGGGAGGGGGGTTGGAGCGAAGGGGCGGAGCTATCAGAACGACGAGGCTCGGGTCAGTCACTGCCCCTTTCACACCAATGCGTTTTCAGCTCCGGCTTGGAGCTGGAGCCTGAAAAGTACCGGTTTTTCCTGTTCACACCGCAGCGGCGCCGCCTCTTAGCTCCGGAATGCGGTTCACTTCCAGCTCCAAAAAATTGTCAGTCTAGAGCATAGACTGTATATATAAATGGACGTAGGGTCCGTGACGTCACCCATAGGATTCTGCAGAGTTGCCGAGAAGCCCTTAGTAGGCGGAGTCGGCCACTAACGGCTCGACAGTGACGTCAGAGTTCCACTCCCGCCTGCTCCAAATAAGGGCAAAGAGGCGGAGCCGAGGCGGGACCTGCTGCCACCGGGCTGGAAGTTCCAGAGCTAGCTGAAGCTACCAAGCTAAGCTAACATGCTCCCCATCTGCACACTGCCGTCGCATTTTACGTTTCTAAGGTAAGCGGACATGAGACTATTCAGCAAAACTATAAATAATAATCTAAGTTATTGAGTTTTTAGCATAATACTTCAGAATCTTAAAATCCCTTAACGTTTGTATGCAATTGTGCTAAATTCAACACTGGAATCAAGCAAATATTAATATGTTTGCATGACATTAGTTATTTATATTTTGCCATCACTTAATTATACGTTTAATACATTTAAGTTAAGCTAAGGTACATGTGATGATAGCTAGTTAGTGCTCTTACCTGTGAGGCCTCCTCCAAACAGCATTATAACCAGACTGTATCATTAAAACTATAAGTACCAGTTCTAGATCCTTGACTTTAGACAAACAATTCAAAAGACAAAATGTATTTAAAGACCAATCTTTATTTGAAGGTGCCTCTTAACCTGGGATATTAGTTATACAGTAATAGTATTGACAATCTAAAAAAACTGAGCAACTCAACAGTCAACTTTATATTTCTTATTGTCTAAAGCAGGGGTTTTCAAAGTCTGGGAAGGTGAGCCTCCCCTCAGAGAACATGAGAACAGCCGCGTCCCCCCTCCCAATTATTATTGCTATCATTATTATTATTATTATTGTTGTTGTTGCTATAATGCAGGGGTATTCAATTGCATTTCAAAGAGGTCCAATAAGAGCAAATGTCATTAAATGCTCTGTTTTCGCTGTCTACCTTTCTCTTTTTTGAGCACGCCATTTGAAGTTACTCCAACTGTTTCTCTCTTCTTGTCTCGTCTCTGTGTGTTTGAATCTATCGTGCTGACTCACTGACTGCACCGATTTGAATGGCTGAGTAGCATCACCTCCTAAAAACATTAAAAAATAACTTTTTAAAACCTTTTTATCTTTATGTTTTAAATATGTGTTTTAAACATTTTTTACATTTTCAACATCGTGGATGAATCCTTATATGCTCCCGGCAACACACTGAACATCAACTTTGCCTCCTTATTACACTCACCCCTACTTTAGTGCTGGGAACAATGAGTCTGCGTCTTTGATGCGCACATGCGGGTGATGCGGGGATCAGAGTCCTGCGGGGATCAGAGTCCTGCGGGGATCAGAGTCCTGCATTGGGTCGGTACCCGACGGGTGACCCGCAAAAAAAGTGATTCGCGGGTGGTAAGTTTCCTCAGACCTCTCCCCGCGGGACCGCGCATAATCATAACCTCTGCACCGCATCAATCTGCTGCTGAGCGCGCCACATTCGAAATGGCTGAGGTGAAGCTCTAGCGGAGAATACAGCATTGTAAATAACTCTTCCTCAAGAGCGAAATCCAACGTCTGGGAGGCTTTTGGTGTCATGGAGAAAATAACCAACATCCCACGCTTTTTGAGCCAAATACGCAACTGCGTGTGTTAATAATTGCATGTTTTCAGTGCTCCTAGGATATGCGGGTTCGGGTCGGTTTGCGGATCTTGTGCCGACGGGTCGGGTCGGTTTGCGGAACTAATTGGCAATATGTGCGGGTGGCGGGGCGGGTTCGGTATTGCACGTTGCAGGTGCGGGGCGTGAGCGGGTCTTGAAAATCAGACCCGTGCAGGACTCTGGCGGGGATGCAATGTAGACAGGAATAAACGCAGATCAGCCTCTGGCTGCAGCCTTGACCGGTACTTGCTTTTGATCAAAGTCAATGCGGAAAACCCGCACTCACACCGGTAGGTGGAGGTGAAGGGTATGAGCACTTTTACAACCTTTTTGGCGAGGTGGGGGAACTCGGCCTCCACAGACAGCCAAAAGTGTGCAAGTGACACTTTACTCATCTTGTTCTCGTTACTTTTTTTTCTCATGCTGCGCCTCCCCTGAAGCTCTCTGGCGCCCCCCCAGGGAGGCGCGCCTCACACTTTGAAAACCGCTGGTCTAAAGCATTTATTATTTTCATTTTTCCCCTCTCATATTCAGTGTGGACGGATTGAGACAGCGTGGTGTCCAGAGAGCTGCAGAGACTTCAGGGAGAAACCTCCGTGTGATGGACACACAAGGGTCTTTCCTCAGCGAGGAGGACCAGGCCTGATGGATGCTGGGCATAGCTGATACCACCTGATCAGGCCTAGTCTGTCACTTTATTTGACTAAATGTGTTTACTTATACATTTAATAGGTTTACACCTTCTGTCCATATGTGCTTTTTATTTAAAACATGTTTGATTAACTTTTGGTTCACATTTCAATAAATTGAATTTGTATTTGCACTCCTTTTGTCCATTATTCTTAATGAAAATGTTAGATTGCACATTCACATCCGACTGAAGATTGACCCCATTTATTTGCGTTGCAAACTCTGCGGTACAAGATACATGTTGTGAAGCTCATAAAGTGAGGCAAATAGAAATAATCAGCTGATGGAGTGTAGATGTGGAAATAGGTGCATTCGATCAGCTGACTGTGTTTTCACAATAAAAATAGTTTCTTAGTGAATGTCCTGTACTGGTCTTAACATCTCATAACATCAGCTTTTAATTTTCCTATTGGATGTTTTTCTTGACCCTCGGAGAAAGAGGAGATGCTGAGTCGTGTCTTTCAGGCATGTCCTTTCCTAACAAAAATTACAGGAAACATAAAACATATTATTGCAGAACAAGTGTGTTATTTATGAAAGAGGTGTGTTTGTGTTTAGGGGCTGTAGATATAATTATTTTGTAATTGTAATGTTTTTTTTTATTTCAACAGTGAGCTACAAAGACAATCAGATTATGAATGAACAGTATGAAATTCATCAACATTGAAATGTATTTTATTATCAAAATAATATTTAACTGTTATTAAAAGAAGCTTGCTCTGTTGTCTCACTGAAAGAATAACTTTTACCACGTTTTTACAGACAATATTGAGAGATAAATAGCAGTTGTCACTATGCGTTAAATATCTTTGCCTTCAATACATTAAATTAGAAAGCTGACAAAGTCATATTGCTTGTTAACATCTAAATGTAACTTTTTGCATGGAAAAAGCCCTCAACTTAACTGATGTGTAGGTGATCTAGTATTTAGTATTGTTTAATGGAAT